TGCTGTCTAGAAGATATAAGATAGAACATCTTTAAGACTGGGTAAGACAAAATTTCTTATAAGGGATTTTTAAAAGGCACTAATCTTTTTTTTTTTTTTTTTTTTTTTTTTTACAATTTTATCATTACTTTAATCAAGTAATTTAGCTGTTTGAAACAAATCCTTAAGACAGCTCAATAGAACAAAATGAAGAATTATTCTATTAGGATAACCTGTGAACAAACTTCAGATTATGTGAATTTGAATACCATTGGAAGTTTGACACCAGACTGAACACTGTTTAAGCCAAAATTTTTAGTGTTCTAGAAGCCCTGAACATGTTTTCTTTCAGATTAAAAGTAGAAGCTTTATAACAGAACCTCATTAGCTTGACACTGAGTATGTTGAGTGCAACTTAGCTTAGGTCACCAGTATCTCCTACAGAACTCCAGTTAATGTAAGCAAATCGGCCTTGCGGCAAAGAATTTGAAACCTAGGCAACATGTGAGTTTGAAGAAAAAAAAATCCTCTTTGTTGTGACAAACTACGTTCCCTCCAGGTATATGGCTCCGGCTCCACTCGTACCCAAATATATCAAAGGCAGCTGGAGACCAATTCTTGTCTCTCCAGTAAGATTGCTAGATTTGTTCCTTGAAATATCAAGCCAAATGTTTGTATCATTTCAATGTGAAATTTTTTCACGCCTATTTGTTATTAAGGTCTCATTATCTGTGAGATAAGTCAGAAAAAAAAAAAAAAGAGAAAGAGGTAAATGGTATAAGCCACTGCTCCAAAATTAACCCTACAGATTCTCGATTCCCACTGTGCACTTTGTGAAAAGGGGTAACTGCCAATAGGTTTAACCTTGAAGATGATCACTCAAACACAGTCAGAATCCATATTGAGTTTAGATCAGGCAAGGAGTTCACAAGGAAGTTATCAACTCTTGTGTGTCCAAATCTAAAGCCCTACATGGACTCTGTCAGGTCCTTGTCACCTGCACTCAGGTGGCCATCAGACTTCTTGGGTGCCTGGCTATATTCAATGTGAAGTAAAAAATTAAAAGTAAAAAAGTAAAAAAAAAAGTAAGACTTTTACACCAAAATAGAGGCTCTGACTTAGAAGTATACTTTTAGCTTTCTTTTTAAATAAGACATTCTGGTGGCAAAAAAGAAAGAAAGAAAATCAAGTTTGAAACACAGGTAACACTTATTTTGACAAAATAGCAAAATCTAAAAAGCATAAACTGTATGTCCAAATGTAAAAGGCATTAAAGAACAAACCATAAGGGGGGGCGGGGGAATTAAAGCCACGCTGAACAAAAAGATACAGAATGTCTAACATTTTTGAATTATAATTTAAACCTTAATTAAAACTTTAAGGGCAAAAGCTGAAAAATTATGCTTACGTTGCTAGTAAGTGCACCCTTCTCTGTTTCTCCCAAATAAAATCAGTTTGTTGTTTAATTGCACCCCAAAGCAAGTTCTCTTAGTACAAAGTAACTATTACATATACACAAAATGCTTGCTAATGTAATAATGCACGCAACTTCAAAAACTACAATTTGGGGCAAGTGTACGTGAAATGAGAAAACAGCTCTCCAAACTTCAAAACCTGCTCTTACATTATTTATAGGACACTCAGGTCATATTTACTTCTTGGTAAGATGTTGCACTGTCATTTGATTATTGGTCTACCTCACAATGTACATTACCAGATGCCAATTTGAGGGATGCCAATTTGAGAGACTAGAGATAAAACTTTAGTACTGTATTTCTTAATGGGCTGAATGAGGTAATTACAATTAAGTTTGTTTTACATCCTGTTGAAGACCTCTTTACAGCCTCAGGACCTAACAATATCTAGCAGGCTCCAAGAATGCTCATCAGGTGAAATGATGGCACAACATTTTAAAAAAGGAGCCAGTTACTTCAGCTTAAGTCATTCAGAGCCAAACATCTGAAGAATGACCAAAATCAAATCTTTATTTTTGTAACTGTATAAATGTGATCCAAATGAAAAGACACTAATCTTAAAAGAAAAGCTTGAACATTTGGACTTCATTAGATTAGAAACTCCTTTTTTCAAATAACACTCTATAAAGAGCATGAAAATGCAAGATACAGAATGAGATGGGCCAGGACTGCGGGGAGGCAAGTGAGGCTCTTGCCTTGGATACAGTTCTTTAAGGGGGTGACAAAAAAAACTCAGTAATCAGGAGAAATAAAAATTTGATGCAATATTAAAAAAATCAAATGTAATGCAAAAAAAATCCATGCTGAACAAAATATCAAAATTTAAAATAAAGACAGGAATCAGTATTTTTATTTTTTCTTTTGCCTGAAGCTCCAATGTGACTCAACATAGCCTTGTGGGAGATGGTATTTGCAATCTACATTACCATCAAAGGGCTCATATCTACATTTAAAGAATGCTTACAAGTCAATAAAAATGTCAGACAACCCCGTAGAGAAACAAGTTCAAAATCCGAACAGATATTTCTCAAAACAAGATAGTCAAAAGGCCAATAAATATGTGAAAAGGTGCTAAACTTCATTACTCTTCAAGGAATAGAAATTAAAATAAAGAAGCATTCCACTATACACCCATCAAAATGGCTAAATGTAAAAGACAGACAATACCAACTCTTGATGAGGATGTAAGAAAAAACAAATCTCAGACATTGCTGATGGGAGTGTAAAATGATACAATCATTTTGGAAAACTGACAATATCTGTAAAAGCGGTCCTATGATTCAGCAATTCTACTTCTAGATAGAAATGCACTCGAAAGTATTCACAAATGTTCCTAGTGCTTCTGTTCAGTAATAGCCCCCAACTGCAAACACTCCATGTGTCCATCAATAAGACAATGAATAAATAAATTGTGGCATTTATCCATGTAAATTGTAGATAAATTGTGGATAAACAAATGGATAAATAAATTGCGGTATTAATTCATATAATACCACACAATAATGAGAACAAATAAAATACTACCATATACAACATAAATGAATCTCACAAACCTAATATTAAGCGAAAGAAGTCAGGCATAAAAACCGCTACACATGGCCGGGCGCGGTGGCTCACGCCTGTAATCCCAGCACTTTGGGAGGCCGAGAGGGGCGGATCACGAGGTCAGGAGATCGAGACCAACCTGGCTAACGTTGAAACGCCGTCTCTACTAAAAAAACACAAAAAACTAGCCGGGCAAGGTGGCGGGCGCCTGTAGTCCCAGCTACTCGGGGGGCTGAGGCAGGAGAATGGCATAGACCCGGGAGGCGGAGCTTGCAGTGAGCTGAGATCTGACCACTGCACTCCAGCCTGGGCAACAGAGCAAGACTCCGTCTCAAAAAAAAAAAAAAAACAAAAAAACCGCTATACACACATATAAAGCCCCCAAACAGACAAAACTTAATTTATGGCGGTAGAAGTCAGGTTAGTGACTAACTTTGGTGAGAAAAAGGGACCTGAAGGAGGAATGAGGAGGCTTCTGGGTACTGGTAACACTCTGTTTCTAGATCTAGATTCTGGTTTTCTGGGTGTGTTCACATAGTTAAAATTCATCAATATGAACACTTTTCTGTAAGTGTATTTTATATCAATAAAAACTTACAAGAAAATAAGGGTCTAGGTATGGTAGTTCAGACCTGTAATCCCAGCACTTTGGGAGGTTGAGGTGGGAGGTTCACTTGAAGTTAGAGACTAGCCTGGGCAACACAGCAAGACCCTATCTCTACAAAAAAATTAAAAATCAGCTGGGTATGGTGGTGTGTGCCTGTAATCCTAGCGACTTGGGAACCTGAGGGGGAGGATTACTTGAGCCCAGGAGTTCAAGGCTGCAGTGAACAATGATCATACCACTGCACTCCAGCCTGGGTGCCAGAGGGAGATCCTGTCTCTGAAAAGTAAATACATACATACAGGCCGGGCGCGGTGGCTCAAGCCTGTAAACCCAGCACTTTGGGAGGCCGAGACGGGCGGATCACGAGGTCAGGAGATCGAGACCATCCTGGCTAACACGGTGAAACCCCGTCTCTACTAAAACAATACAAAAAACTAGCCTGCCGAGGTGGCGGGCGCCTGCCGAGGTGGCGGGCGCCTGTAGTCCCAGCTACTCGGAAGGCTGAGGCAGGAGAATGGTGTAAACCCGGGAGGCGGAGCTTGCAGTGAGCTGAGATCGTGCCACTGCACTCCAGCCTGGGCGGCAGAGCGAGACTCCGCCTCAAATAAAAGAGAAAAAAGAAAAAAAAAAAAAAAAGAAAGAAAAAAGAAATCTCCCGTTTCAGTGAGAGTTCTGGCTCTGGTTCCTTACCTCTTTTGCCCAGCACTTGGCTCCTTTTATTTCTCCGTGCTGGACTGTAATGGCATCTTTGCTGGAATGCTCATAGGCGGAAGTGCTTAGAAGAGAAACGCTCGTAGTGGAACCAAGATATGGCAAGTTTTACGTTATTTTAACTCTGAAGTTTCCTGCAGGCTGTCTCAAAGAAGCAGAAACAGGCCCTTTCCCAGATTGCCTTCCAACACAGAGCCAGTTACAATATACGGGGGTTACTGCACTGGACCGTAAAATAGACTGTAAAAAGTAATTGTTCCTCACTCAAGCTAGTCCAGCAAAAAAAAAAAAAAAAAAGTAATTGTCTCAATTTTGGCTATACATGTCCTTATATACTTGAATTTGCAAGAGCTCCAAAGCAACGGAATCTAGTATTTGGTTTCCTGCAGGCATAACATTCTGTTTTTTCAAAGCCTCAACCTGACAGAGGCTGAAACCAAATCCTTCAACCTATAATTTAGTCACTTTCATGTAAATGTCGGTCAGTTTTCTGACATCTGTCTAACAGTATGTTGGAGTGACTAGATCAAGGCTGTAATGAGCCCACCATTCCTGGTAATCATCTTTGCATGGGGCTGTCCTGCTGAAGGTTGGGCCCAAAGTGAAGCCATCAGTGTTAAGTGCCCTGATCCTTAATGAGATCCCTGTGGCTTGAGAAGAGGAGATGCAGATGCACTCCTTACCTTCATCTGGATCAGATTCTTCTTTATTTTCACAGAGCCACTTGACCAAAGGAAAGGCTTGATCAAAGGGAGACTCCCAACCAAACGCTTCCAGGGCCTGGTTCCATTTATGCCCCGGGTTTGCTCTTTCGATTGCCCGTGTTGTCAGCTCAGTACAACATAGCTCCTCCTTCCATGAGGAGCAGTCCAGTAGGGTTCTGCATTCTGGTACAGTGAATGGTACAGACCTGCAGCCTTTTTTTTTTTTTTTTTTTTTTTTTGGTATCTTCTCAGCTGCCTGTCTACAAGGCATGGGCAGTGGCCAGCCACTACTACAATAATTTAGGCACTTAAACACTTTTGAAAATTCTACACCCAAGCAAGAAACTGTGATTCTGGAACTCCAATTAGCGGAACGTACCAGGCAAAAATCATCCAGGCACATCGGCTTTCAGAAAGTTTTACTATGGAAGAAGCAAATAAATAAACAAAAGAAGATGATGATGAGGAAGGAGGGGGCTGGAGAAAGGAAAAAGAGGAGAAGGAGAAGTCGAGCCTATAGATATATTACTATAGCATAGATATTGTACTGTACCAAAGCACCCACTCAGAAAGCAAAAGAAGTTTCTTCTTCCCTCACTAGAGCTCACCTCTCTCTACACAGGGCCCTGTTCCAGGAAATCGTCAGTGGCTGCTCTCTGTGGTCAATAATAGATAACTCCAGATGAAAAGAAGTGTTCTGAAGTCAAGATGTAGTTTTTAGATCAATGGTTTTACGCAATAGTTGAATCCGGGGATCTCTGGTGGGTCTGCGAAAATTCTTCCAGCCGCTCAGTGGGCTGAGTCTAAACGCAAGGCTCACAGTGTGTTGGGTGGTTTTTTCTTTCTTCTTTCTTTTTTTTTCCCCTTTGACACATGTTTTCCACTGCAGATTTGAGACAAAATTTAAATGCACCAAAGCAAAGGGATTCAGCAAAAACACCTCAAAGGTGTCTTTTGTTTGCTTGCTTCTGTATTTAATCTAGTAAATAGGAGAGACTCTTGTTCTGCTTAAGTAGGCTAAAGACTAAAAATTTCGAGACTCACCAGATTAAAAGATGAAAAGATGAACCTTGCAAAGCGCATCTTTTTCAGGAGAGGAAAGTAAGATTTTTTTTTCTTCTCTGGATTTCCCATTTCCCAGTGTCATTTATTCCTGGCTCTCTCTCTCAGCACTGCTTTCTAGTTCAGTGCCCACAGCTTGGAGTTGGGAGCAGCCGCTATCAAAAGTAATCCCTCTCTGCTGCCACTGTTGTATTTATTTAGGGTTTTCTTCCAGGGAGCAGGAGTTCAGGTGTAGGGTAAAGGGGACATTAAATGTGGCTGCAGCTTGGGGAGATCTGTTTTTCTTTTTTCCTCATTCTAGTTCCATGGGAAGAGGTAACCTCAGGAAAGTCTGGGCTGCTGGAGAAGAGTTTTGTGAGTTATCTAATAACCTGGTTGTCAGCCACATAGCACAACAAAGCTGTCCAGACATTTAGGTTCCTCGGATGCCACGAGATAAAAATTTACACTTATGCCTGTGTCTGCTTTTCCCTTTCTAACAGAGTAACATGCACATTTGGCTATTTGTTGGACCAATTTACACGGCCATCGTTTCCTAGAAGGATTTTAAAACAGAGTGGGCTACCTATACTGCAGATAAAGTTTGGAAGCTGTACACTAAAATGAACTTAGAGGTCTCTAGTTGGATTGTGGTGAAGTGTTTGCAACACCATTTACCTATCTGGATAATTCTGTAATGTACAAAGTACTCTCCAATAATTCAGGGGTCATCCTGTATGACCCAGATACTGTTAGCCCTTTCAATCCTTTGTGCGGGCTTACCTAGAAATAAAGGGAAAAATGTTCTTCCCACCTTGCTTGATAAGATAAAAACAATGTGTTTGCTTTTTTAATGTAACTGGAAAAAAAAAAAAAAAAGAAAAGAAGAAGGAAAACAAAAAGGCCAATTCCAACAGTCGGATGAAATTTATTACATACTTCTCTGGGAACCCCTGGTTCCTGAATGATGTGGCTTATGATCCCTTTTCCAGGTCTTCAGAGATGCAATCATTCAGCATGTTAGCAAATGATACTTTGCTGCCAGATACTATAAAGTTGATTTAAAGAGGTTGTAAAAATGCTGTAGCTGTAACCAAACTCCTGGTAGGGGGAGGTGGGGCAGCACATGCCATGGAAACGTGCTCACATATTTCTGTGTGGATACCCAGTGGGAAAGTTATTTGCCACTTCTGGAGAAGCTGGAAGTTGTCGACTACACTACCTTGTATCTCAGCCCTAGAATCTGCCTCATGCGTGTTTATACCTGACCAACTTCTCTCAAGTTACCCCACTTCACTCCCTACCATATACATATATATATATTTTGTTTTGTTTTGTTTTTGTTTTTTTTTTAGATGGAGTCTCCTTCTGTAGCCCAGGCTGAAGTGTTCAAGTGATTCTCCTGCCTCAGCCTCCTGAGTAGCTGGGATTATAGGCATCTGCCATGATGCCTGGCTGATTTTTGTATTTTTAGTAGAGACAGGGTTTCTGCATGTTGGTCAGGCTGGTCTCAAACTCCCGACCTCAGGTGATCTGCCTGCTTCAGCCTTCCAGAGTGCAGGGATTATAGGCGTGAGCCACTGTGCCTGGCCACTACTATATAACCTTATTTTCTTCCTAGAACTCATCACTATTTGAAATTACATGAACAACATGAGTTTTTTTGTTCTTGTTTTTTGCCAGAGTCTTGCTATGTCACCCAGGCTGGAGTGCAGTGGTGCGATCACTGCAGCCTCAAACTCCTGAGCTCAAACAATCCTCCCGCCTCAGCCTCCCAAGCAGCGGGGAGTACAGGCAGGCATCATCATGCCTAGTTATTTTTCTTATTTTTTGTAGAGATAAGGGCTCACTTTGTTGCCCAGGCCGGTCTTGAACTTCTGGGCTCAAGTGATCCTCCTGCCTTGAGCAACATGCACATTTTGCAAAGTGCTGGGACAACAGGCCTGAGCCACCGTGTGCCCAGCTAACAACATGGGTTTGAGCTGCACAGGTCCACTTATATATGGACTTTTAAAAATAAATGTATTAGAACATTTTTTGGAGATTTGTAACAATTTGAAAAAACTCACAGACGAACCTCATAACCTAGAAATGTTCAAAAACTTAAGAAGAAGTTAGGCATGTCATAAATGCATAAAATACATGTAGATACTAGTCTATTTTTATCATTTACTACCATAAAATATATATAAGTCTATTATAAAGAGTTAAAATTGGGGCCGGGCGTGGTGGCTCATGCCTGTAATCCCAGCACTTTGGGAGGCCAAGGCGGGTGGATCACGAGGTCAGGAGATTGAGACTATCCTGGCTAACATGGTGAAACCCTGTCTCTACTAAAAATACAAAAACTTAGCCGGGGGAGGTGGCGGGCGCCTATAGTCCCAGCTGCTCGGGAGGCTGAGGCAGGAGAATGGCGTGAACCCGGGGGTAGAGCCTGCAGAGAGCCGAGATCAAGCCACTGCACTCCAGCCTGGACAACAAAGTGAGACTCCGTCTCAAAAAAAAAAGTTAAAATTGTCTGGGCGTGTTGGTTCATGCCTGTAATTCTGGTACTTTGGGAGGCCAAAGTGGGCGGATCACGAGGTCAGGAGTTTGAGACCAGCCTGGCCAATATGATGAAACCCCACCTCTACTAAAAATACAAAAATTAGCTGGTGTGGTGGTGCGCTCCTGTAATCCCAGCTACTCAGGAGGCTGAGGCAGGAGAATAGCTTGAACCCGGGAGGCAGAGGTTGCAGTGAGTCGAGATCATGCCACTGCACTGCAGCCTGGGTGACAAAGCGAGACTGTCTTGAAAAAAAACAACAACAACAGTTGGCCGGGCGTGGTGGTTCACGACTGTAATCCCAGCACTTTGGGAGGCCGAGGCGGGTGGATCACAAGGTCAGGAGATCGAGACCATCCTGGCAAACACGGTGAAACCCCGTTTCTACTAAAAATACAAAAAATTAGCCAGGCGAGGTGGTGGACTACAGGGTCCCAGCTATTCGAGAGGCTGAGGCAGGAGAATGGTGTGAACCCGGGAGGCGGAGGTTGCAGTGGGCCGAGATCGCGCCACTGCACTCCAGCCTGGGCGACAGAACCAGACTTTGTCTCAATTAAAAAAAAAAAAAAACAGTTAAAATTTATCAACACTTATATACAAATACTGTACATGGCACCATTAGCGGTGGAGAGAAATGTAAGCAAATGTAAAGATGCCGTATTAAATCATAACCGCATACAATTAACTGTTACACATACTATACAACTGTAATAATTTCAAAGCCACCTCCTGTTGCTATTGCTGTGAGCGCAAGTGTTGCAAGCATCTGCTTAAAATGTCAGGTGACATTGATCACCTCCAGGTAAGCAGTTAGTTTCTCTAGTAAATTATTGCATATGTCAGTAGAAAGTGCTCTCTCAAGGTTCTCGTGTGTTTTTTTGTAGTGTTTAATACAGTATCATAAACTTTGAATAACACTACAGGACCCATACAAGGTGCCACTTGTGATGCTAGAAGTGCTCATAAGAAGCAGAGAAAAGTCATGACACTACAAAAAAAAGCTGAATAGCTTGATATATACCATAGATTGAGGTCTGCAGCTGCGACTGCCTACCATTTCAGAGAGATGATTCATCTTGTAAACAGATGGCGTAAATTTATGGCATCAATAAATACAGTACAGTACTGTAAATGTGTTTTCTCTTCCTTATAATTGTCTTAGTAACATTTTCTTTTCTCTAGCTTACTTGACTGTGGGAATACAGTGCATAACACATATACAGAATATGTGTTGATGATTTATGTTATCTGAAAGGCTTCTTTCTGGTCAATAGTAGGCTATATTAGTAGTTAAGTTTTGGAGAAGTTGAAAGGTATACTCAAATTTTCAACTGGTTAGGTGCCCCTAACCTCCATGTCGTTCAAGGGTCAACTGTATCTTGTCTGTTTACTTGTTTTGGTCTAGTTCTCCAACCATAATATAAATGTTATGAAAGTATCTCATCTGTCTTGTTTACTATTGTACCCTACATGTTTAAAATAGTGCTTGCAGACAGCAGGTGTTGGATAAATATGGGCCACAGTAAAGAATGTGGATTTAGTTAAATCAGG